ATTACATACGATAGGGCACAGGATATCTATGTTTCCTTAAGAAACCGCACCGTGATTTGGTCTAGTCCGGCAGCCTTATTCGTAGACATGTTTAGTACAACAGCTTCAATATCCTTGGATTCAATGTCGTACATATTTAAAGTGTTGGTTAAACGGTGTTCGTGAAAGTGGTACTCGGTCGAATTGTCAAATTTTGCTGCCAAGGCAGTGCCGATGCTCGTAAAATATAGATTAAACCTGTCAACAATACTTGCCTCTATGCAGTCGGAAAGAACCTGCTGTTTTGGCTTATTGCCCGTAGCTTCTTTTACTATTTCCCATATTTTCTTAGTATTACTGTTTGCGTGATGTATGAGACGGCTATATTATTCTTTTTGGCGTATTCTAATATCCGACACTGATTTATTACGCATCATTTTGTAATTACGCAGGTAATACCCATTGCGTTTATTCTTCTTCCATTTATGATACCAGTAGTCTGTTCGTTTTAGGGTGGAGACGATGTAATCAGTCATTCATTGGCAGAGTGGTTCCCGACAAGACCTAGAGACATGGTTTTGCTACTGTTGACTATGATGCTAGTAAGATTGTCAAACAAATTACCTAATTCTACGTTAACGTCGTCGTTGTATAATAAATTAGGGTCTAATGACAAAAGCTTGTTGCATGCTAAAACATAGCCGATTCTAGTTGAAGGTGCTGTTTTCTGTGGCTTTGGTTGGATCAGATCTTTGATAGTCAAGGAGACAGGAAGGTGATCAGAAATGGGCACATCATACACGTCGGCCTTGGCATGTGAGGGTACATCTGTTAAAAATATGGTCTATTAAGTTTCCAGATTTAGCCGTTTGTTGCGTAGGAGCGGAAATTAGGTTCAAGTAATTACAGGACTCTGGCAGATATGTGTATTCATTATGAGTTGTGATAAAGGTATTAATGTTGGTACCCCCAACGATAACTACTTGGTCATTGTGATTCGCTAAGTAAAGAAAGATAGCTTCAAGCTTGTCCAAGAAGGCGGCTATGGGCGAGTTGGGAGGCCGATAAAGTACGCCAACAACAAGAGAACAGTCGAGCCTGATAAAGATTCAATTTCATTGAAACTGAATGTGATCGGCGATAGCTGTCAGTTCGTATGACGATTTTGAACAAAGAGGGCTACTCCCCCTCCCCTTGATCTTGAAAGACGTAGATTTGACACTGCAGCGTATGTGGGGATCGTAATGTTTGATTGATTGATTGATATGTGGGGTTTAACGTCCCAAAACCACTCTATGATTATGAGAGACGCCGTAGTGGAGGGCTCCGGAAATTTAGACCACCTGGGGTTCTTTAACGTGCACCCAAATCTGGGCACACGGGCCTACAACATTTCCGCCTCCATCGGAAATGCAGCCGCCGCAGCTGGGAGGGGGGATCGTAATGTTCTCGCCTTTCTTTAACCAGGTTTCAGATGTAGCAATAACATTGAAAGAAGTAGTGTGCTGCGACCGATAGGCGATAAGCAAGTTGACGTTTTTATTTAGGCTAGGAGTGTTGCTCTGAAAACTCAATATACTATTGTTTGTCTTGTGGTTGTCATGCACAGATTGTCGAACCTCCATTAGGCCGAGGTTCTATTTTAGGGGTTGTTAAGTGCCGATGATCACACAATTTCGGAGAGGTCATCTTCGCATGTAACCTGCACGACTTTCGAGTTTATCGATTTTCACAATAATACGTTGTCGTCAGCAATCAAGGCAAATTTCCAGTTCATTTCTTTTTTTTTGGCCTGAATGCTCTTGCCGAGACGGACCTTATTTAGGGGCATAGGTGGGCATTCACATGGACTGGCTCACTTCCTTGAAACCCAAGGGATCCTACATTCAGCCTGTTTTTCTTGGCTGCAGTCAGAATGCTGTCTCGTACCTGCCTCGCAACAAACTTCGCTACTATGTTGGGCGGCCCGGATTCCTTGGTCGGCACCCTATGTGCAGAATCAACGTCTTGGCCGGAAAGCTTGACCTTGACAAAAGTGGTCACTTTCAGAACTATATCATCAACGTCCTCTCCCTCGGTCGATAGTACTCCCTTCAGTTCGATATTGTTCCATCTACTCTATTGCTTTAACGCTATGATTTCTCGCTTGGTGTCCCTCAAATCTGTTTCTAGCCCCTAGCACTCTTTCTGGCTTCCCAGGCTATGGTCAGTAGCCTCGGTGACTTCCTGTCGGAGGGTCTTGATTTCGGCTTTGAAACTTTCAAAGCCCTCAATTATAAATCCCATAGACTCTTTCCCAATGGCAAGCTCGTTAGCTATTATATACTGTTTGAGGCAGCAACTTTTTTTATATGTGCCCTCAGGCTTGCCGATGCGTCAAGAATCTTTGATGTCATTTCCCCAAACAACTTATCTAGCTTCTTAACTGAACCCGGTGCTTTTTCACTCAAAGCCTTAGAGAAATTTGCCAACTCATCCATTGCACCGGGGCAATGGCACAAAGACAAAGAAGGAAAGAAAAGACACTTGTACAAATATGCACGAAACGTTCAGAGCAGACTGGCAGTAAGGGAATGATTTAACATAGTGTAGAAAAGTAACCCACCTGCGGTACAGAAGCAGCGGGTTTAGCAGGCGATACGACTGCCAATCCGCTCTGAAGTGGTAAGCGAAGATGCCGTTCGATTTTATAGGTGTCGGGAACGCCTCCGGATTTTAGGGCGATAATCGTCGTCACGTGCTGTCAAAGGATCCGCGGCAGTTTCAAGCACTGAGGGTGCGAGTGCCAGTGCGCCTGCGCCTCGTGTAGAATCCGCCACTTTTAACCACCGGAGACGAGTTGTTCCCGAAGCCGTGCGTCCTTGGAATTCCTGCGGTACAGAAGCAGCGGCTTTAGCAGGCGATACGACTGCCAGTCTGTTCAAATTTATTGCCACAGTGCTAGAGTGCACTTTCTTCATGACTCAGAGAACTAAACTGCTAATATTCACTCAATTACATCAGGAAATCTTTCTGGTAAGCAAGCTTTACGGACCCAGTGATGTGAATTATTCGGGTTGATGAAAACACTCATCCATACCAATACTTCCACGAATATCAAAATTGATTCGTTACTTCTTAAGCATAAGTAAAACGGAATTTCGTTCGAGTAAATTTTTAACTGCATACCACACAAACGAGCGGCTGAATGTTTATATATGACAAACAAATAAATATTAAAAATCTAAAAAAAATGTCTCAGCATTTCCATGGAGCGAAAGAATTTCGGTGGGGCGAAGCGTTCGTCAGTACGTCCGTGCTATCGTCCACCCATTCTTTCTTGCTTCCATCCGTACATGCGTCCGTCCGTGCGTCCATCTATGCGTCCATCCATCCGTGTAACCATCGATGCATCCGTCCTTCTGTGCGTCTTTCCATGTGTCCATCAGCACGTCAGTTTTTCTGTCTGCCCGTCCGTGCGTCTGATCGTGCGGCCGTCCCTCTGTCTGTCTGTCTGTCTGTCTGTCTGTCTGTCTGTCTGTCTGTCTGTCTGTCTGTCTGTCTGTCTGTCTGTCTGTCTGTCCATCCGTTCCTTCGTGCGTCCGCCCCTCCGTCTCTCTGTACGTCCGTCAGTTCGTCCGTCTATCTATATGTTCATTCGTCCGTTCAACTAGTGAACACTCCGAGTACAGCCATCTCACATTTTTCACCTTGCATTCATCATATACAAGTGCCGCCAACCAGCGGACATTCAAAGGACTGCTCCCTCGGGTATGTGCCACCGGTGGCTACATACACCTTCGGAGGATGGACAGGCCCCCACCCTAAGGAGCATTGCTCTAAAACTAAGTGATTCACCCCAGAAGCGTTGTGTGAGTTTTAAGAATTATTTACTCTCCAGAGAAAAATTCAATTAAGGGAAGACTGAAGAAATAAAGAAGGCGCTGAACGCGTTGGGCGCGGCCTTCCAGTGCGAGAAATCACAGCGAACGAAAGTGTTTTGGTGCTCGAACGTTGATCCGAAGGAAGCGGATACAAAGGGAGACTCAGCGGTCACGTTTCGACGGAGCGAAATTGCCAGAGGCCCTTGCACCATGCGATACACTACATGGTCAATAATTGTGGAACCCTCCTCTACAGCGTCTCTGCAGTATTTTTCCTAAAACCCTGTATTATTCTAAAAGTGATTCAGAAATGTTTCAGTATATATGTGTAGATAAAACTGTATAATATGACAAAATGCCTAGTTTGCGCATGTTATCTGCAAAATTGCTTCCGCAACTTTAATAGAGCAAAGAAACAGGATCTGAAAAAGATATTCTGACATTGGTGTGACATTGTATAACCTAATACCAGTACAGCTTCCTAAAATATTGTATATCCACTCCCTAGCTCTCGTTTAATATTCAGATTTTTCAGCAGCGCGTGCTGCGTCAACGAGCAAGTCTGCCCTAAATTATTCATGATTTCAGCATATATACTCCAAATAACATCTCATACTTCCTATTGCTTCATATTGTGTTGGTTCTGATTACGTTTGAGTCTAACAGAGAAAAATGAGCCCTTGAACTTCACATTCTTTCTTTCCACTATTTACTATCACTTCACTAAATATCATATGCTGCGTCTACCGTGCCTTGAAGCTGATGTGTAGTGAGACACGTCGGGATGAGGTATTTCATTATGGTGTTCTCTGCGGTGAGGAATCCTACCAACTTTTCAACTTAGCCGCTAATCTACCACTGCCGATGTGTTTCACTGCTGACCCCAAGGTCACAGGCATATTCCAGCCGTGGAAGTCACATTTCACCGGGGAGGGACGGCCGAGGCCCGTCCACTATGTGAAGTCCGTGATATTAAAGAAAACCAGGACAAAATTTCCGGAACCCTCGGAGATCGCGTCTCTGATACCATATAGTATAATTGTGGTTTTAAAGCCTCATTATAATGTACCGCTGTCTTTACTGTCATGTCCCGCTCAATAAAAAATATAATGCTTCATGTGTATGAGACAATTTCTTCTTCTTGAAACACATTATCAGGTACCAGACGGGCCTAGTCGCCCTCCCCTCAACAGAAATTTCTCCCGTTACTGACTGCTGCCGACGGATACTGAAGGATGGCCTCGGCTTCAAGCAACACTTTATGCTCGAGTTCGGTAAGCAATTGGTACTATTGTTTCTTTATACAGTTTAAGCCAATATGCAGGGTACAGATTCTTCCATACTGGCTAATCACTATAAATGAGGCACGCACGCGGATAACTTTGAAAATTTCGAGCTTATCACTACAACATTGCGGCGCGCACAAACCAACGATGTTTTTATGGTTACTGTGTATACTTTCCTACCTGCCCATCGAGTGCATTGCACAAGAGGAACTTCGTTTTGAAAGTGCTCAGAAGCGTGTATATCTTTTAAACTTCAAAAATACCTGTTGCATGAGCTCTAAAAGGACACTTCATTGAAGCATTAATTCGGTTTAGAGGTATATTTCTTGGAATGAAAACTGTAATGTTCTGATATTTCACCATGACATTTTCATTATTACCAAAGAAATTCAAGGCATAGGTCTCATGTTTCGCATAATGTGCTCGAAAACCTAGCTCATGATTTATGGATATTAAAGTACCTTTCCGTATTAATTGACATTAACTGAACAAAATTTCAAAAAATTGGAATATTGCGTCTTTGCCACTCAAAGATAAAAGTGCCCACATTTTATCCACTGAGCTTAGAGGACTGCCTTGGTCTGGGCAAGTTGGAGGGACATTTTCGAAATAAATGGAGTAAAGACGTAGTCAAAGACCAAGTACAACAGATTAGTGCTGAACTAGCAACTGAGCTTTATTTCATAAAATCGCCTCTTTGGATTGTAACATCTCATCACCCCCAAAAATCAACACGCGCAAAAAACAGTAATAGCAACAAATATGAGTGATATCTCTAAACAAAACTGTACCTGCTCATAGCTGATTATACCCTCCCCCATGTCAATAGTCGAGTCACACTGAAAGACACAATGTCACAGTTTAACATGCTAGGGGGCACATCTAGCTTTGTTTCAAACATTCCATTGCGCATGCTACGCAAACTCAGCACAGAAGAGCGAAACTGAAAAAACGAAGTTCATCAGCCACTCAAAAGATGATAAACAATTGAAATCCAGCTATATCTAACGAAAAACCTAAAATGTATACCTCACCTTCCAAGAACATCATTGTGTTGAAAATTGAGTGAATAATGCATGGCGAGCTTCGTTGGTAAGAAACGCTTGCATTATTTCTATCCCCAAGTTGTTGCTCGCTTTTTTTTTATTTGCTGTGAAGGACGTCGAAAGAGGACAGCCTTTTGTCGGGAGTTGCTGCATGATATATAGCGCTATCTGGTAGTTTTTAAAGGAAACCAAGCTTCCTTAGAACGCAGAACCACTGGTAGGTGGCAATACCAGGTCGTTCTAGTTGAAGCCCCAGAATTTTTTTTTGAAGCCTACGAAACTGCTGATATATTGTTCACAGCATTGCATTGTTAGTGCACTGTAATATTCACAAAACTGTTTTTATTACATATCTATACATTTTAAAACAAACCGACACACTGCCAAACACTTACGTATTTATGTGGCGTCTTAAGCATGCAAAATTTCCCTTTAAATGCGAAACGTCTTCTAGCGAAATTGGCGACTTTGAGCGTATCTATCTATCTATCTATCTATCTATCTATCTATCTATCTATCTATTTATCTATCTATCTATCTATCTATCTATCTATCTATCTATCTATCTATCTATCTATCTATCTATCTATCTATCTATCTATCTATCTATCTATCTATCTATCTAGCCGCCGAGGACTTTCAGCTCTCCTGGCTGTTAGATAATGGTATCGATATTGAAATTGGTGTGGCATACCATGACTGTATGACAATCATAAGTGAGTATTCATAACTTGAAATTCATAACATGTATGTCATGAATAATATGATTTGCATTTCATGGCGTTGCTGCTGTTACTGTTGTTTCGTTTGCATGACACAATGCAAAACTTATACAGTATGACATGACTGCAAGGCCAACATTACTGAATATGCATTCCACGTAACTCATGATTGCAGGCCATACGCTCATGGTGCGCTCACGGTGCGCTTCACATACACTAAATTTGGTATTACGTGACGTGAAATGATGACAAAGATATATGACGGCTGCAAACACGATAATAATGACATCCATGTCATGTGTGAAGATGGCTACGTACCGCGCTCATAGCCCACTCGTGGCCGTTTCGCTAGCTCCACATATACAAAAATTTAGATTCACGTGCCATGAACAGACAATGAAGCTAAATGACACGTCAAAACAAGATAATCGTGGTATGAGTGTCATGTAAAGTATGACTGCACGCTACGTTTATACAGTGCTCGCAGCCATTTCGCTAGCTTCGCGTGTACCAAATTTGGTGTTTCGTGACGCGGATGGTCGACGAAGATAAAGGAGACGTATAAATGTGACAATCATGACATGCGTGTCATGTAAATTATGACTGCAGCTACGCTCACAGCCAGCTCACAGCCATTTTGCTAGCTCCACATATATCAAATTAGGTATCAGGTGACGTAAATAGACAATAGAAGTTGAATTACACGTCCGGAAAGGATAATGTTGACTTGGGTGTCATGTAAAACATGACTACATGCTTTGCTCACAGCGTGCTCACGGCCGTTTCGTCAGCTCTACGTATACGAAATTCGGTATCACTTGATATGAATAGACGACGAGGGGGAATGAAACGTCCAAACATGATAATCGTGACATGGAAGTCATGTACGGCATAGTTTACGTCCGCCCCGTGACGTTGTGCTGATTATAAAGTGACATATTAACCTTCATCTTTCCTTCTTCGCATATCACCGATTTCCACTGTACGTGGGATCTGCAAGTTTTTTGATGCATTTTAAACAAGTATAAACATTGCCACAAAATCAAGAGGGCTGGTTGTTGAAGAAAAGGTAAACTTTCACCTAGTGACTCAAATGTTGGACAGGGTGACTAACCGACAGACGGGCAGATAGACAGGTTTAATCTATTTGCATTGATGTATCCGAAAAAAGACTATTGTCTTGAAAACTTTGCTATTATTTTTGGCGCATACCCACTCCTTCAGCAGTGGTCTGCCAGGTACCATTCCGAATCGTTATTCTGTTCTTTCGTACCCCAATATTGAAGCACTGGCCTGTTTGACTGACGTATATTCGCCCATGACTAAGCGGAATTTCACAAGCGAAATGAGCCGACAGTCAGTAAAATTGTTCTTGCTCTTCAACTCGGCGCCTTCTCTACAAGAGTCAAACTTCTGACATCTTTGAGAAGCGCAAAACAATGAATCTATATCTTGATGATACTTTTCTATGTAGAGATACTTCTTGTAGGTTCGGAGGACGTACTCTCTCGTTTTCCCTAATTATTTTTATTTTTATTCAGCAATACTGTCGATCTCCGAAGAAGTTATTGCAGGGAGGGCACACATAGTACGAGGGTACACATAATACAGAAAGACAGGAAAAAACTATAATTATGTGCACAGAAACTATGCAGCATGTGCACTTGCTTCTATTCTCTCTAGGAACACGGGTAAAGATCAGGCGTTAGTAACAGTAGGACTCAGTCGGTTCCACTTTCTTACGTGTGTGGGAAATATGCATATTTAAAACAATTAGAGCTTGAAGTGTATTCATTAGGTGTTTGCGAGTGCCTGTAAAGTGTCAGTCTTGAACTACTGCAAGAGAGCAGTTTTTACGAGTAAATGTTTGTGTCCCCATTAGTTATTTGAAACAAAAAATTTAATGTTGCTATTTTCGCCCGACTTTGTAGTGTTAGTAGACCAGCTTTATTTAGTAACTCCGTAGGGGAATCTGTCAAGTTGTATTATTATATAGAACCCTTACTGCCTTCTTCTGCACCCCTTCAATTCTTGCAGTTAGTTCCTTTGTATAGGGAAACTACGCAATATTGGCGTACTTCAATGCGGCTCTAACAAGCACCTTGTATGCTAGCAGCTTTGTATTTGGGGCGCTAGATGAAGGCGTCTTCTCAAAAAGAAAAGGCGCTTTAGAGCACTTGAGGTTATATTGTTGATGTGTGTTTCCCATTGAATATCCTGTGCTAAAGTGATGCCTAAATACATTTGCTCGAATACACGAGTGAGTTGTGTCATTATTATTGTAAGTGAAATCAGATATTTCTTTCTTTCTTGAGACAGTGAGCGTTACAGTTATTTTGGAATTTAAATTATCTGCCATTCCTCAGACCAGGAAAAAACAGATTCCAGTGCATTTAGTACATGATGATCATCAGTGGAATAATTCCTCTGTACAATATACAAGCATCAGCGAATAGCCGGATGTCAATATTTATTTTGGAAAATAAATCATTGATCTACATAAGGAACAAAACCGCACCCTGTACAGTGCCCTGAGGAACTCGCGATGAAACAGATGCTAAAAAATGTTCGTTATTGATCTGCCGAAAGTGCAAGTGGTTACTCAGGTGGTTCTCTATCCACTCGACGATAGAGCCTTCACCTATCGTACATTCCAGCTTCTGGTTTATTTTTTTTGTGTGTGGCACTCAAGTAAAAGCCTTGTAGTAGTCCAATAAAATCAAGTTTGTTTTCTAATATCTATGCTTTGTGATAAGTCGTGTGTCAATTCTAGTGTTTGTGTGACTGTAGAAAGACCACGACGGAAGCCATGTTGAAAGGGTGACAGAACAGATTCCTGTTCGAGGTATATGTTTGTAATTAGGCACTGCGTGCTTCAGAAGTTTGCATACTGTAGATATTAGGTATATGAGCTCGAAATCAGAAACCTGTGATGTTAAATCACATTTATGCACGGGGATAATCTTTGCAATTTTCCACTCAGTTGCAAGTGAGCACGTAATTATAATCTAATAAAGATATGGCACAAGTATTTAGCATTCCAGTCTGCATATCTCGTAAGATACATATTTGCTATGTTATATGTTTCAATCACTTTCTTTGTCGTCAATATTTAACAATACGTACAACAGGCCTGTGTCAGTGACTTTAAGTGGCTTGATAGGTGTCCGTCACACGGGACTATATTTGGTTGTTTTCCATTATTGATGGTAAATACCGATTAAAATAACTGTTAAAATCTATAGAGTTTCTGTCACTATCACTGCTTGTGGCGGGGCTGTCATTGTGTTTTAGATTCAGGAAATTCCAAAACTTCTGTGGTGCACTGTTCAACAAATTAAGAAGAGCCTTAGAAAAATAGGTGCACTTAGCTGTTCTGATTTCTGATTTCTTATCTCTTATGAATATGTTAGGTGCGTGTGTGGCAATTGCATTGGCTTTAGTTTAGGTGCTTTGTGTAGCCTTATTACTTTTCTTTTAGCGTGAATTATTCTCGCGTTTTCTTTGGGTTCGACTTCTTTGCTTTTCTAGACCTAACTGGCAAATATTTTTTAAGACTAAAAAATGCGATGTCTGTGTACTTTGTCCACAGAGGGTGTACATCTACAGAAATGCGCGTGGAAAGGTTTTCAAATTCGGTTTATTCAAAAAATAGGTGATCGATAATACTGACGTCATCAGCATGTGAAAAATCATGAAATGTGCTGCACTCTTAAAATATAGGGACAGGTGTTTGTGAACGACTGTGCAGTATGTTATTTCATGACCTGATATACCTCGAATAATTTGTAAATGCATACTGTCAAGTGGAAAGTGATAACTGAGAAATGTCAGAATAAATATATTTGATGTAGTTCCCACAACACGCGTGGGCTGGGTGACAACCTGAATGTTATTATTATGCAACATCATATCACTGATTATTTCGGAAGATACTGATAAAATGTGCATGGATTCCAATCAATATCAGGTAGCTTGTAATCACCCATCAAGATTAGCCGGCTACATGACACATGACGTTGTAGATATTCATATAGTGAACATGTGACGCTACAATCAGATGTCGGACCGCTGTAAACGCACCCCAAGCTGACAGGATGTTGGGCCAATAGTAGTTTGCAAAAGACAGCTTCAACATTTTCTACATCGGGAGGTCTGGAAAAAGAGATAGCTTCCTTTATAAATTGCAACGCCCCCGGCACGCCTGTGTCTGTCTTTTCGCACTACTGAGTAATTTGGTGGGGTCAATTCAACGTCCATATTATTCTGTGTCAGCCATGTTTTTGTTACAGCAACGAAATCAGGCTCAAGACTAAGTTTTACCAATTCTAGGAAATCTACCTTATTAACAATGCTGCGTGCATTTACATTTATGAAACTCATTTCGCATTTTTTCTTGAGCGCAGTGTCTTCGATTCGATTTGCTGTTCTTTATTTCGAGCTAGGGATGCCCGAGTGCCTCTTTAACGGTACCACACTCCCATGGCCCCCTTCTTAGCAATACAGCTCACCGTTTATTGTCGTATGTTATGGTCATATCTTTATTGTCGTATGTTAAGTTGCCGTATGTTAAACAAACACATTCTTCAGCTCCTCTTTTTGCTTTGCCGAACCTCCGTAGTTTCCTAATTACGTCTCGAGTGCGGACTGAGAAATCTTCACATATGGAATAGTTGGTTCCTTTCAGCATGCGGCAGTTTTTCAAATCCCCAGTTTTATCTGGAACTTCGGCAAGTTTCACAGTTATCGGTTGTATTTTTTGGGTGCTGGTTACCCGAGTCTGTGAATTATTCGCAGGCAACAGGTTTCATTTTCAGAATGTTTTTGACAATTGTCTCGTATATAACCTCTTCAAGGGAGCCATCACTTTCTTTTTCACTCTCAGCTACACCATGATTGACGAGGTTTGACCTTCTTGAACAATTTTCCCGATCATTTTAATTTACCATAAGTTCAAGGGTACATTGGTATTCTGTAAACTATCCAGGTCACTAATACAAGCCGCTAATTTACTATGTAATAACGTAAGCAGTTCCAAGTTGTATTGAATTCCAAGTTAATGTTCTTGCTTAATTTCCTTCAGGTCTTCAGAAATCAGTGGGAGTTGTCTCGAGACAGTATTGATATCGGCACCCGGGATAGTTTGCTTGTCGCCACATAATAATAATTTCATTCGGCTAAACGAACCTTCAACACATTCACACAGCAGCTCAAAAAGCAGCCTCGGGCATGGCAGGACAACCAAAAACACATTATTTGACCAAAAACACTTGTCAAACTTTTCCTTACCTTCTTGAAAAAGGTGACCAGAATAGGTGTATGTATTTTGGTCTACCCGCCGTGCCCTTTCCGGCGAGCAGCTTCGTGTGCGCCTTTTATATACCACGATGCCAACTTTGCCACCAGGGAGCCGTTGATTCCCGCTACGGTATTGACTGCCGCTGGCACAAAACACGCAGCGCAGGTGTTGTTATTCTGTATCAGTGGCTTGAATTGCACGAGAAATTTACCTTCGTCACGTATCTGCGTGTTGCTGCCATGAGTATCAGACGCTGGCTCGTTGTATCCCGTCTGCATAGTAGCAGAATGAACAAAAACTGCTTAAAAAATGTGAACGGGATTAGGCAGATGCAATAAGGTGGTCCCGCTGTGACCTTCGCGCGAGCAGCCTTCGTGTGCGTCTTTTATATGCACGATTCCAGCTTTGCCACTAGGGAACCATTGATTCCAGCTATGTTACTGGCTGCTGCTGTCACAAAACGCGCAGCGCAGCTGATGTTGTTCTGTATCAGTGGCTTGGATGGCACGAGGAATTTTCCTTCATCACGTATCTGTGTGATGCTGCCACGGGTAACGGATGCTGACTCGTTTTATACCGTCAGCTGTAGTAGCAGAAACACCAAGAACTGCATGAAAAAGGTGAACAGATTAGGCTGATGCATTCTGGTGGTCCCGCCGTGCCCTTCTATGAGAGTGTTTTATTGCCTGCAGCAACTGCTTCCACACGAAAGCTATTTAAGTTCCGGATATCTTGAACACAACAAGCACGTTCAGACTATTGTGTATAGCCCTTAGTTTTTTAATTACATAGCTCTGGGTTCACTTCTTGATCATCTATTGTATGGCACATCATCATCCTAGTTGATTTCTTGCTCTGTGTTTGCCTTTATTCTACCACGCTTTAGAAGCATATTGTTCCGCATATTTGGACCTATTTGGGGAAAACATCCCCAGTGTCATGGTCTATTGAGGGCTCAAAGTGTTTACTAACTTGTTAATAACTATCACAATGTGTCTTTAGTGTAATTCGGCTACTGCCATACGCGTCTGGATCAACTAGGTGTCGATTTGGTTTATCGAAAGGTATTATTCATGGTTGTTGCTATGACTGTTTTTTTTGTTCGTGAGACCCCTTTACGGTGGGGCCAAATGACGTTATACCGAAGCACTATCATCTATTAAAGCCTAATTGGCTTTTCGTCACTCGTCCCATTATACTGTGTCTTTCATACCATATCTCATGTTCATTATATCAATCATAGTGTGGTGCAATGCAAAAAAAGACACTAAATGAGCGAGAGAACAAGGACACAGCATATTCTTCCATAAGTAGTTCATTAGATTGGGACACACGTATATATTTACAGGCAAAGAGAAAAAGATTGATTATGATGGTATATGATTGTATATGATTGGCTATGATTGACTTGATCCAGCTCGGCCAATAAGCAACGTCGCTCATTCCTAATTTCGCAATTACCCATCAGGAACGACATAGGTTCTATCATACGTCATAGAAATTTATGGCGTTATGTCTGATGGATTAAGGATTCGAAGATGACTTCAACACCCACTTTTTTACGCGTTTTTGCGCTTACCAAGCGTCTTATCATAGCAGATGTGGTGATTTTGGCATCCCGAAATAGAAATTTACCAGTATGAAAAATCGGTTATCTCTTCAGCGTGCCGCTTTTAGTAAAATGGAGTTTTAGAATGTGCTTTCAAAATGTTCGCAAATTTGATTCTGGGCCCCACGGGCACATCATATGCCACAATTTTTATTACGTATGTCGTTTTTTTCGGAAATAACGAGCCTCTACTTAACAAGCACCTAGCTTGCGTATTTAGTTTTAAAACTGCTTAGTGTTAAGGTGCATGTTTATCGAAACTCTGGTCTCTTTGCTCATGAACCTCATGAGAAGCCACCGGGATCAATATCTCCGTTTCATGATCTCCGTTAATGAATGCAATATATATTAGGAGACTTTAAGTAGTATAAATTTGTCATGTCTGCGTAAAATGCTCACTTTTGGCATCGCATAGATAATCAAAAGCTATACGCATATTTTGGCTTCTCAATCATTCACCAGGTCCTGGCCTCAACCACCTTCAACTGGACGTGCATTCTGACAAGGAGCCACAGGATAAACAACTGTTGGAGACATGCTACCGTGGTGAGAACGCTGAAGTGGCACTCAGCTGGTTTCCGTGCATGGTCAACGAATACCCTGGCTGTTTGTTGCACCTATCGAGCCCGAGGTTAGCCATCAATATTTATTTTTATTTACTTTATTTGCATAAGCACTTGATTCTTCGTCACGTATCTTGTCAGTTTACTCAGTAAACTACAGCTCTGCCCGCGTTGCGTCAACGGTGATACAAAAGAAAGAAATAACGATGTAAGAATAAAAACGACAACATACAAAGCATTACATAGGAAAGGTGATGTGCTACCGCAATAGAAAACGAACAGAGAGATCGCATATACGAAGCCTGTCAGTGCCGAATACCATGACGCAAAGCGCACATATGTTACGCGATTTCTCCGCCCTGGCAGCTTACTGCAAGACGTGGCAGCTCTGAGAAGTGAGCGCATAGTGGGCTTGTACGCGTAAACATGCCTCAAATTACACTCTGTCATCTAGTGGATAGAGTCTGCTGTTCTTCAATTTTTTTTCATTCTGAGAGGTGCAATGCAGTGCATATTCATCGATAATGAGATGAATATTGTGTAGAGGATGACATCTATGAGACAGCCAGGTGCCTCATGATGTGGGAAATTTGAGCAGGACGCTCCGAAGTTCACTATGCAGGAGGCACAGAAGAAAGCGAGTGTCCACCAACAATCTTATTCAGCAAGTTCTTCAGGCAATTGGAGAAAATCGCCCAGACGCAGTTTCTGTATAGAGTGATTATTTGCTTAAATTTTCGCGGTCATCTCTCAGACCATCGAGGCTGAGGCACTTGGATACCGCTATGAGCCATATGTGTTCTCAAGGGTGGCGGATTCAAAAGGGGGCTGTAGGGCGGATAGCCCCTATCCCTAAAGCCTGTGTCAGCCCCCTCTCTTAGGTACTTGTCATCTACCTCTGATCCCCAATTAGAACAAATGAGTGAACTGCGAGCACACATGAACGGTATTTAAACTATGGTGGAATTTTCGCGCTAGTGAAAAAAAAAGACAGGACTGCTCTCCCCCTCCTGTTGCTACTTCAAGTGACCCTTCCTAAAATTATTCTCGGGATCCGCCCCTGTGCTGGCCAGGCCATCACAAACGTAGCGCATAAGCACCGCTTTACTGACTCTCCAGCAGCTGCCATTATGAAGTGGGCGTTCACGTTAGGGTGGTCACGCGGAAGAAGACCTTCTCAAGAGAGGAGACTTTGTTCTCTAGTTGAAATTTGGAAAACCTATCATGGACCATTACTGAAGCCTCGTGCTGCGTGATTATTCAAGGTACACTAAAGGCAGTTCTGAGCTACCGAAGATAAACGCAGTCACTAGGCTTTATTCTTCTTGATGACCACATGCGGCCACACAGTCCAGCTCCTGCAGTGCTTTCGGAGGGAAGCGTTTGGTCGCCGACCATACATATTCCACCACGTATAAAGAAATACTATCAACATAAAACTGCCTTCAAAACGGGCATTCGGAGCATTCAGATAACGTAACATTGAATAAAAAAGTGACAGCTTCACCGCAAGGCTGAATGGATTCTATAGCAAAAAGTTTGAATGTCACGTCAAGAAGGGCAATAAGATGGAATCCGCATTATTGGAAAGAAAAGATGGCAATGCATACATGACGCACAAAAACAACATACACATCACGACGGCCAACTAACAAAGTCCACAGCCCGACACTTGAAAAAATCCTCAAACAAGTAGCCGCCCGAAACTGGCTCGCAGGTACAGCCGAGTGCGAAATAGCAAGTGCCATACTTATTTCGCTGTCTCTTAAAAGGGCGCTCTTTGCGCAAGCAGTTACTCTTCTGCCAGAAAAGTGGGCTCCGCGTGCACTGTTCTTACAACGCAATCACTCCGGTGAAAGCCCACGACGTATAATTTTCCCCTGGTGTGGGACAAGCGCCCGCACGCACAGCCGTCTACGCTACACGGGACTCAATACACGTGGGAGAGCACCGCTTGAACACGCGTCGCAATGAGCCGGGCGCTGAAGTGCGCCCTTTGCCTCATCTGACAGAAGTAATGCTGAGAAGACGCTGATCTTTCCCCCGAGATTGGCGTAGCGCCTTGCGGGGAGCGCCGTATAACATAGTTCACCGCTTTAACGTAGACGGACAGGCCCTTCAATAGTCATCCTAAGTTTTTCGGGAAACCTGAATATTATCATGAGTATGGTTGACGAAAGGCACAATATTGTAAGGATTCTCCTCTTCGGTGACAGTGATTCTAATATTTATTGGACTATTAGGCTGTTAGCTACAGATAACTTGCAGGCTGCAGATTTTATGGACTTCTGCCTTAATCATAATCTTACCCGACTGAAAAAAAACACAACTCGTGTCGAGCAACTTGTGTCATTGTGCAGACATTTCGCAATTTGATCCTACAAACGCACGTTCAATACTTATCGTTAATTATTTTTCATACAAAATAAGTGATCATAAGGTAGTAGAGTACCAGAGTGTTGGAGAAATGCTAATATCATCCTAATACATATGAAGGATATGGCAAGGACTTGAAGAATTACAGGCCGATCAGCTTGCTCTCCGTAATATACAAGCCATTACAAAGGTAATTGCTAACTAGAGTTAAGAAAACATTATATTTCAATCAACCAAAGGAACAAGCAGGATTTCGAACAGGCTGCTCAACAATCGACCAAATTCATACTATCAATCAGCTAATAGAGAAATGCTCAGAATATAGACAACCACCATACATAGCCTTCATAGATTACGAGAAGGCGTTTAATTAAGTAGAAAATTACTGTCAGTCTCTCCCGTTTTTAATTTTCTCTCTCTTCCTTGTTTCCCATCTTTCTTGTCCGCTTTTCTAATCTCCCAGTGTAGGGTAGCCAACCGGATGTCTTTCTGGTTAACCTCCCTGCCTTCTCCCTTTTGGTGCTTCCTGTCCTCAGCAGTCATGCAAACACTGCGGAAGGAGGGTGTCGATGAAGCATATATAAACATCCTCGAAACGAGCTACAGGGGATCAACTGCTGCCACAGTGCGTGATAAAGAAAGCAACAAAATACCAATCAAGAAGTGATTAAGGCAAGGGGATACAATCTACGCAATGCTATTTACCACGGTCTTATAGGAGGTTTTCAGATGCATATAATGGGAACAGTTCGAATGTAGAGTACCTTAGAAAACTGCGCTTCGTCAATGACATTGCATTGCTGAGTAACTTGGGGTACGAATCGCAACTCATAATTACGGAGTTAGACAAAGAGCACACAGAGGTGGGTCTCAAAATTATTCCTTAGAAAACGAAAGTATTGTATAAAAACCTCGGAAGAGAACAGAGCTTCGAGATAGGTAGAGTGCACTTGGAGTTGTAAAAGACTATGTCTACTTAGGGCAGGTAATAACCGCGGAGCCGAACTACGAGATTGAAGTAACTAGAAGGATAAAAATAGGGTGGAGAACATTTGGCAAGCACTCTCAAACTAGAGACAAGTAGATTGCCACTATCCCTTAAGAGGAAGGTATATAACAGCTGTACCTTTCCGGTTCTTAGCTACGGAGCAGAAACATGGAGACTTGCAAAGAGGGTTCAGCTTAAATCGAGGATGACGCTGCGAGCAACGGAAAGAAAAATGGTAGTGTAGGGAACTATGCGAACGACGACGAAGCAGCATGAAACGGCAAGCCACAGCGTTGGCGCACGCGCGCGACCCGAGCTTGCGTTTGTTTTGTATTTTGGCCTGATGGCGTTCCTCGCTCTTCTGGCGTTCCTCGGCCTTCCAGTAGGTCTGTACTTAAATAAACTGCGTGACATCTGATGGAGGTGTGTGGACTCCCGTACAAACCTGGAACTTCGCTCCCGTACGCTTCCCCCTCTACGTCACACGAACATGGCCACCGAGACGCCTCTCCAGGTGGGACCTTCGACCGTCCATGTCACTTGCGGTGCCGTGTATCCTCAACGAGACCCTCCTATCTTCACGGGCTCCACTGAGTCGGGCGTCGAAGATTGGTTGGCGAGGTACGACAAAGTCGGCGCAAGTAACAAATGGGACGACCCAAGTAAGCTGGGCTACGTCACATTCTACCTTGCGGACACCGCGCAACTGTGGTTTAATAACCACGCAGCTGACATTACTACGTGGTCTGCATTCAAGGCGGCTATTACGGACGTCTTTGGACGACCTGCGGCACGCAAGCTTCAAGCCGAGATCCGTTTACGTCACCGTGCGCAGCAACCAGGTGAGACCTACACGGGCTACATTGAAGATGTGTTGCATCTATGCAACCGCATCAACTCTACTATGCCTGAGGAAGAAAAAATCCGCCACATATTGAAAGGCATTGACGACGGTGCCTTTCAGATGTTGCTCGCGAGAAATCCCCCCAATATTGCTGTCCTCGTTTCCCTCTGTCAAAGCTTCGATGAATTGCGTAGGCAGCGCGCAATCGCTCATCAAGCCCTCACGACGCCAGACACGCTCGCAAGCTTGCACCTAGCTGCCCATCCTACCGACCAGCAGCCGCTGCTTTCGACAATCAAGGACTTCGTCCGCGAAGAGGTAGCGCGCCAGCTGTCACTGCTGCCACTGACACATGAGCCCACGCAAGCTTTGGCACCGGACCTCCAACACGTCATTCGGACCCAAGTCGCGGAAACCCTTCCGCCGGTGCATCAGCAACCACCAGTCACTACGCCTCTCACGTACGCCGCCGTCGCTGCTCGTCCTACGCAACAGCGTATGCCATATGCTCAACCTGCCACGCCACCCTATGTCGTGCCTACAACCCCAATTGCTGCGCCGTATCCCTACGCGAGATCTTCAGCTCCATTTTACCGTCGCTCAGACGCGTGGATGACGCCGGATAATAGGCCCATCTGTTTCGCCTGTGGTATCGCTGGACACGTCGCCCGCCACTGTCGCCGAGATCCCCCTCCAGTCGACACTGTGGGCAGGCCAATGGCGTCATCGTCTAGGACGCCATCAAGGTACACCACTGACGGTCCTTGACCCTACGTAAACCATCGGTCACCATCGCCTCGACGACGCTCCCTGTCACCTATGCGTCGCCGACCTGCTACGGAAGAGGGAAACTGATCGCT